CTACTGCACTGCTCTTCATTTAAGTTATGAAAACAATCAAAACCTGGCAGCTGAAATTCAACAGGTACAATTTTCCCCCCGTGATTTTTAGGAAGTGTTTCTGTAATACAAATAATGTCTATACTCTCGTTTGCGATCACAGTTAACAGTTCACTTTTTTTGTTCAAAACGGAATCCGAGTTCGTGTAAAAACATTTTAAAACTTTTTGTGCACTTTCACTTTGATGTATGCGGTTACTTCCTACATTATTTACAGGCCTTGATCTACGGACATCATTCCTACTAATTACTCTTAGCTCTCTTAAAATTGGATTAAAATTCTTTAAAAAATAGTCATCACTGCGCATTATTGACCCAAAGAAACATGATCATTTTTATTTTGATTGGTTGCGAATTGAGGAATCTATGGGTGTGCTTTAGGTGTCATAATAAGAGCCGTTTTAGAGGAAAACGGGTGGGGCTGAAATTGTGAAAAAAGTCATCTCGGCGCATTGTTATTTCGAAGCTAAATTTCTAATTTCAATTCAATAACTGAAAAAAAATTGGGCGAGCTTGAGGTGTGAATTACTTGTTTTCCCGTTTTAACTAGTAACAGACGAGATTAAATTTTTGAAACAAATTGTCGCAACTTTTTATTGCTTGTTGAAATATGCATGCCTAACTTCATTTTTTAGGTCACGAATGTGTTGTGTCTTGAATGCATTCCAGTAGTCAGTTTACATCAAGAAAAAAAATTTTGCATGTGAGAAAAAAAATTACTTCAACTGTTTTTTTTTTTCATCGCAATCGTCAAAGAAAATCTCGGAATGTGTAAGCAAAGAAAAAGATGCGGAATGGCTTATGGACATACGCAAAAGTAACGCAAAGTGGCCACATGTTACAATCCACAATACCTACATTATGTAGGTATTTATTAGTGTCTCGGTAGAATTTCCGTGTAGGTAGGTATTAGCTTATTTAGCTACGTGCACTGTCGTGCTACACTGCTACGTAGCCTAGTTGTGACTTGTGAACTTGTGGTTGTGAGTGTCTGAGTGAGACTGAGTCAGACTGACACTGACTGACTGAGTGATTCCTATGCTGTTTATGCATGTTTCACGTTTGTTATGATTTATTCTGTAAATCCATCCATTTATCAGAGTGAGACTCAGACAGTATTATAATGTGTCAAAGCAGCGAGTTTTTTATACTCTTCCTCAAGTATATTTTTGAGTCTTATACTCCCTAAGCTAGTCTGGAAAAGTCCTATTTTTGTCTGAAATATCGCAGCTCTAATATCATATAATTTCAGTAGGTATGAAATCTCGCGGCTCGAATGTCATAAATTTTTGTTTGATTAAAAAATCGCGGTTTGCACTTCGCAAACATGTCATTTCATAAAATTTTCAACTTCCGCAATCCGCATTGCTT